ATTCGTGGTAGGCCCGCAGATAAGACGCCCGCTTTAAAGTTTCAATGTATCTACTCAGAATCATTAAAGAACAATCTTTACGCGTAGTTTAGTATGATAGGCGTTTCCTCAATTGTGAAAAAGACCTATCAGTATCATTTCTCATCCCTCTCTTTTCTTCCTTCTCTATAGCTCCTTATATAGCTCCTCGCGATTGGGATGGCAACATGAAGCCTGGCTGGAAGTATTGAAAAGTACGGAAGATTTGCCTTGCTTGCAACTTGACACTTTGCAACGATCCTTTCAAAGTATACTATAAAACCTATTATCACTCAAACGGAGTTAAGATAGAGGAAGATGTTTCTCGCATTTTGATATTAGAATTTTGTATTTTTGTACTACGTACTTGTATTTTGATAAAGGACTTCGTTAGGTTTTAAGATATGCCGAAGCATTACCGAAGATCCACGGGCTTTGCGCACGCGTTTGAAACAGCATAAGCGAGACCCATACGAAAAAGCGGTGTATTGATAGTCGGTGGGATATTGATATATTATTTGAGATCTGGAAGCTACTCGAGCGGCCAGTAAGTACCACGCGTACAGGCCTAAGTGTTACAGCCTGAGGGTAGGTTCTCGCTGTTTTTATAAGCTTTTGTTCTACCAGGCTATACTCGATGACGTCTAAACAACTCTGTCTTATCGTTCTAATTAAAGCAACAACTTTATCCTTTTCGATCGAATCCTACGCTTCGCGAACAACTCTTCTTAGTCGAAGATACTTTTGATAAACCTTGAGATATTTCTTATGAATATACTCACGATTTTTTTTTTATCGCGGACAGACTCCACAATTCCCTTGGAAAAGGCCAGGGCTGCGGCATTCAGAAAGTTACATGTTGACATTTGTCTGTGCTTTAGGATAGCGCAGGGCTTTAAGGTTCTGTTTCATTGAGACCGAGCCACTCAGAAGGCGGACCCAAGCTTGTCCAATGGAATTGTGGAGTTGGTCCACGATAGGAGAAAAATCTCAAGTAATCCTTTATCTGATTCCAAATCGTTTCGATCGGGAGATAAAGCAGGCTATCCGATCGGCTCGTTACTATTCGGGTTTTACCAGAAGTCTGAACCACGGGAAGAGAAATGGAGTCATCTTGGCGGTAATTTCTCCATTTATTATCATAAGATCTCAGCTCTTTCGTTGGTTGCTATCCCCTGTCAAACTGACCCTCTTTTTCCGTGTTTCAGACTTCTGGAAAAACCGAGTACAAGCTTCCAAAACATCTACGGAGTATGAACCGAGCAGCGTGTCTTCTAGCCTTATCTTGCTGAAACTCTACTTCGGGTAATCGCACAGAATCTTATTGACGATTAGCGTAATACTCTTCTCGAATACTACGTAATTTCTACAATTAATCAATTCTAGTCTTTTTCTTCAAACAACCTTGGCACTCGATCGAATCTTCCGCAAATTCCCTTTCAAAACATCTATCCGATGTTCCGTTGATCTCGACGAGTTACGCAATCGGGGTGCCAACGTTCACTACGTACTACTAGCTCGACGAGCCACATAAACTTTCCGATGCTTTCCTAGCTAAGCCCGGGTCTCGTCGGTAAATGATATCTTATCTTATTGATCGTCGGTCCAATTAACGTGCTCGCAGGCTTACGTTATCCTATCGGTAGCATGATCGGGTGTTGAAAAGAGTTGTCTTTGCTAAAGTCGGCGAGCAAAACCCTTTTCATTTCAGGTTGTTCGAATAGCCTTTTCCCCCGCAATTTAGACCTGTTAAAGCAGGGATCTGATTCTGCGGCGTTTCTCGATTAGTTAGTGGTGTTAAAACCCAATCGATACGACGTTTTCTTGGTGGTGTTTCGAGTACAATAAAGAGTTTTGGCAGGATTTTGCAGGTGGATTTCTGCAGGTTTTTTGCAAGTGGCTTTGCGCATTACGAAAGAACCATTGCAAGGGGGTTTCCACTGCACCGATCATAGTAATATACTCTTATTCGCGCTCGCACTTGAAAATGCCGAAATGTCTTAAAACCGGGGTTTCTTGCTTCAATAGCAATATAAATCGGTGACGTTCCAACTTACAAATCATCAATTAATAGCAGATGGATCGGCACATATTGATGAGGAAGAAGATCGATATTAGCATTATCGCTTAATATATTTTGTACAGAAACATGATGCTGCTCTCGATTTCAAGCTATAAAATTTTGATTTTGCTGATCAATTCGCGATACGATGTTTGTATCTTTTATAGCGCAGTGTAATTAAAAGTATTAGTAATTATTTGCGAACTCTACTCGGTATACGTAGTACAGCCTCCTACTATGCAACCTTATTATGCAACCCTTTATCAACTGACGTTCAAAGCCAAAAGCCTCTGTACCTTGTACATAAATCAGTGGAGCGAGCTAAGCTACTTTGAAGATGGATTTCAACCTGCCAGTGGTTTGCATAACCTGCAGACCACGAGTAAGATTCAGCTCTGCTAAGTAGAGAACTTGCAGACCACGAACCGGTTTCGGCTCTTTTGGAACTAGCTTACGGAGGTATAGCGATCGAGTAATTCCTTTTGTTTTGATTTACGACGCAAAACAGCTTAATCGAGCAATACTTTTGCGATCCTTCGCTTCGTATCGCTGAGCGCGATAATACAGTCTATATTCGAGAGAGATGAGAAACAGGTTATTCTAACATTTTTCGAGTTTCCTATCAGCCTCGGTCACAGCCCGATAACTGTAAGGTCCACAATGATAGGGAATCACTATTCGAGGTTCCGATGAGGCTCCGTTGATATCCAGACTGATCTCTAGCCTTCTAAACTCCTGAACTCCAGGGGATTCTTAAAGAAATGAGACCTGTGTGGGCAGGTGACCGAGCCGAGCCCGCAGAGCCTCCGACTACCTCCGAGTGGGTTCTGCTCCTGACATAATCGATCATTTCGAGTAAGATCGGAAGCTCTAAAAGCTCCAAAAGAATCTGCGCCAGGTCGGGATTTTTTACAAATTAAATTCAAGGTAACCGATGATTACTTATCGATTAAAATTGGAGTCCATTCGGTAAACTTTTGCTACTACGTATGTTTAAGACGATTGCGACATGGGAATATACGTAGTACCTACTGGCCGCACGAGTAATAAGCATTGCTATCTATTTTTAGAAAACGCAAAACTTTCGGGAAAATCTAAAAAAAATTAGCAAAAAGACCTGTAAGGGCGAAAGATGTCAAGTCAAGTCTTGACAGCTTTTCTGGGGGGGGGTTTTTTTCTCGTTTTTTTCCACGTCAAAAAGCGTGTCGGCAGGGGCGTAAATCCATTTGCGTAGTAGATTGATTAAGGTGGACCAGGGTACCTTAATATTGGAGTGGACGGATCTATTAATATGTTTTTTTGGGAAGAAAACAGGTGGGAAAGCTGGAGCTGTCAGCTATGCTAAATCCCTCTAGTACCGAGGTATCAGCTCGGGGTCAATACTTGACTGTAGGCAAGCTTTCTGTTAGCTAGGCAAAAGAGGGGTTGACTCTTGGCTTGCGGAAGGTACAATAGCCTACGGGGGGAAACAATATGGATGAGAACATCGCGACCTACTCCGTATACGTCGCTGATTCCATTGTTCTTTCGCTTGACCTTGAAAATGCTCGCATCTCTTTTCGTTCATTATTCTTCACACTTCACGCTTGAACGGTGGTGAAAGGTCCGCCTTTAGGTTCCGTTCCGCCGGGCCAAGGGAGAGTATAAATCGTGGGGGTTGGTACAAATGGCTATCCTCCGGGCCCTTTAGGGTTTGGCTCTTGAGTTTACTCTTGAGCCGATTCCAAAGTACTGTACAACGTACTACTACTACTACTTACTACGTAGTATACTGCAGCTCTTGCATGCATGAGAACTTAGTTGCAGAAGAGCAAGCCATGTCCAGAATTGTGTCGACGCCTCCAGCCCCTCAAAGAGACAAGCTGGGAAGCAGATGACTGACTTCCCAAGCCCCCTTCACGAGTCGATCCTTCCACCCAGCACCCGTTCCAGAGCGGAGATTCTCCTCGACCTGAGGTCTTCTGATGCCGCCACATGTGAATGAAATCCCTGAAGCTTTTCGTCGCCTTCGGGGGTGAAGGCGAATGCGAACGTGACCAAAGTTCCAAACAACATTTGTATGGGAAGATGCGGACGAGTCAAGGAATGCCTGCACCATTGCGTTTCTAGCGCCAATGCTTGCCCAGACCAGACAAAGCCTTGAGCCTCGAGCCTTGAGCCTCGAGCCTTGAGCAAGCACGGCATGCCTAGCATGGCATGGCATGCACACCTATTATCTCACATTCCGTACATCTTTCTCTCTCTCCGCCTCTTTGTTCAAAGAACACGGCCAATGAGTTCTACCGAACATATTAAATGATCAAGACACCAACGTGGCAAAGGAGTGGGTGTACCACATGATGGAAAAGTTGTCTGGATTGGCCAACGTCGGGGTGGAAACCCAATCCGCTATTGCAGTGCAGTGTAGTATAGCGTGTTGTATTGTAGTACGGTATGATTGATGTATTGCCATGGATAGATTGGGCGTTCCGACAAAAGAAGCTACGTAGTATAGGTATTACTATAGTACAGTACCGTACCGGTATGTACAGGAGTTCCGTATGCACGTCCTTACGGAAGTAAAAGTGTTAGCGTCTCCCAAGGGTTCCCCTCGCCATCGAGATCCACTCCACCTGACCTGTGTACCATCTACTACCCTCGGCCAAGATGCTCAGCGCGACGCCGCGTCCTCTTGTACTCTTTCCGTCTGACCTGCGCTGACATTAGACTCGCCATCCGTCTTGTACATATATAATACATGTCCTCTTTCAAACTTCCCGTTTCTTTCATCCCTTTTTCGCCCCTTCTCTCTCCTCTCTCTCTCCCTCTCCATACTGTTCTGGCGTAACCAACATCCCGGACACAGACGCTCTCCCACGGCGCGCAAGCAACGCAAAGCGAGGCAGAGCAAAGCAGAGCAAATAAGCTTCAGTCTGCCATCATGTCCTCTTCACTCGCGGCCTCGGCGTCGAGGACAGCCTCCGCCGCAGCCTCTGCTACGGCTACCGGTGGCAATCGTGCGGCCCCGCAAGGAGGAATCCTCGAGGGACTCGATCCGACTGTCTACAGTCCCAAAAGCCCTTATGTCCTGTTTATCATCCAGGTAAAGATCATTCCTCGCCTTGTTCCTGCAATTGGGGCAGGTTTGGCCCATGGGTAAATCCCGCCGCGCCGGGACATGGCTGCAGGTACCCTACTGATTCGGAGAATACCGGATCGGTTGGTGTTGCTCGAGTCCTCGCGTTTCGCAGTTGCGGCGACTTTCTGCAGCATCAGGGCTATCAACGTCTTTCGCAAGTCATTTGTGCTTTGCCACAATGAAAAAATGTAAGCAAGCAGCTAACATGCTCCCAAGGCAGGAATTATCATTATCTTCTGCCGTATCCTCCATTACCCGCTCCAAAAGCTTCGACAACCCAGAGTCATTGCGGAAGTCATTGGTGGAGTCATACTTGGCCCTTCCGTGTTGATGAGGATCCCGGGATTCGAAGAGCACATCTTTCCGCCCGAATCTATGCCGGGCCTGACCCTAGTCGCCAATCTGGGCTTGATATTGTTCCTCTTCTTGGTCGGGCTGGAAGTCAACATGCGAATGTTCCTCTCCAATTGGCGCGTGGCGTTAAGTGTGGGTTTCGCCGGAATGGTATTACCTTTTGGGCTGGGCTGCGCCATCGCATATGGTCTGTACCACGATTTCAGAAGTGACCCTGGAATTGTGCATGTTAGTTTTGGTGTCTACGCTTTGTTCATCGGAACAGCCTTATCTGTAAGAACTGTGTTGCAAGCCTTGGACGGCAAGTAGCTGATGCACTTCTAGATCACAGCTTTTCCAGTCCTATGCCGTATCCTTACGGAGCTCAATATCCTTCACACCTCCGTTGGCATCACAGTTCTGGCTGCCGGTGTTGGAAACGACGTTGTCGGCTGGATTTTACTCGCCCTGTGCGTGGCACTAGTCAACAATGGTTCGGGAATCGTAGCACTCTACGTTCTGCTATGTGCCATTGGGTGGATTCTTTTCCTCGTCTTCGCAGTTCGCCCCGTCTTTTTGATCTACCTGCGACGCTCGGGAAGTCTTCAAAATGGTCCGTCGCAAGGCGTGATGGCTGTTACTATCCTTATGGTTCTGGCATCAGCCTTCTTTACCCAAAGCATTGGAATCCATGCCATTTTTGGATGTGAGTTGCTTAAACCTGGGACGTTCCATCAGAAACTAACGATTTTCTAGCTTTCATTGTCGGGCTCATCTGTCCTCATGAAGGTGGATTCGCCATTAAACTTACCGAGAAACTTGAAGACCTCATTTCGGTTCTGTTTTTACCCCTATATTTTGCGCTGTCTGGACTTGGGACCAACTTGGGACTGCTAGATGATGCTCAGACTTGGGGCTATGTCATTGGAGTAATTGCGATTGCTTTTGCTGCGAAGATCATCGGTGGAACCTTAGCTGCTAGAGCCAACAAGCTCATGTGGCGTGAAAGTCTCACTATCGGATGTTTGATGAGTTGCAAGGGTCTTGTCGAACTAATTGTTCTCGTAAGTGATACTAACATATCCAAATTGTCAAGGTGCTGACGACACAGAATATCGGTCTTCAAGCCAAGATTCTTTCGACGAGAACATTTACGATGTTTGTTGTAATGGCCCTTGTCACCACTGTTGCAACGACACCGCTTGTTATAGCACTCTTCCCACCCTGGTACCAGAAGAAGCTTGAGGCGTGGAAGAGAGGAGAGATCGACTGGGATGGAAATCGCTTGCTTCATGGCGGATCCAGCGGCGCCAGTCCCCAAGAATCTCTCGACAAGTTTCGTAGTACAGAGGTCCGGAAGCTGCTTGTCTACCTCAGACTTGACAGCCTGCCCAGCCTGTTCACGTTCATCACTCTACTGGCCAATGACAGAGCCACTGTCCGCACAAAGGTCCACAAGTCGAAAACCTCTGGGCTTTCCACAGTGCCCGAGGGTGAAACTGCTGATGGCTCCACTATGCCATCGTCCAAGCGTCCTTTCGAGGTCCATGGTGTACGCATCTTGGAATTGACAGAGCGGACGTCTTCGGTCATGCAGAGCTCAGAGCTGGATGATTACCAAGACCCCGTTGTCAATGCATTCCGAACTTTTGCACAGCTGAATAATGTTGCTGTCTCTGGAGACGTGTCTGTCGTACCTGAGGACTCCTACGCGGAGAGTTTGACCAGTCAGGCGGCGGATCATTCCCCGGACCTTGTTCTCATTCCATGGAACGATGTGGACAACTCGGCAGAGTTCGGCCTGCAGCACGATTCTCTTCCTTCAGGAAGTCAAGACGCTTTCATTCAAAAAGCGCTTGAGACCGCTACTTGCAATACAGCAGTCTTCTACAACCGTGGCTTCGGTGGCCCAACATCAGGTCAAGAGCCCCCTAAGCTCACCCGAACTTTCAGCAACCATAGTAAGCGAAGCCACCGCGAGCCAGCTGCTGCACCTGTTGTCGATCGAAGCCATCATATATTCTTCCCATTCCTTGGCGGGAAGGACGACCGCGTGGCCCTACGCTTTGTGCTCCAGCTTGCACAGAACAGCAATATCACAGTTACCATCGCCCACTTCAACAGCCCGATTAAATCCGAATCTTTCAAAGAGCCAGAAGTTACGAGCAGTGACGTTTCCTCCGACCTTCATGCCAATTCTTCAAAACTCACCATTCACGAGACAATTGACACCGAGACCTTGTACGCTACAGCTGCTCAAGACAAAGCGCTCCTGCACACGCTCCGCGATTCTCTATCCTCGGACCTGGCTAGCCGTGTTGTGTTTGTGGATGTAGCTACTACTACTCATATTACGGACTGCCTCAGCCATGCTAGACAGGAAATCGGGCAATCTCCTAACAACGCTGGTGATTTGGTTGTCGTCGGCAGACGTAGCCATGTGCGCATCACCGAAGCCTTTCAGACCCACAATCCGGAGATGCGAAAGACGCTTGGTCCTATTGCTGAAGCTATCATTTCTGGTGGTGTTAGGGCCAGCGTGTTGGTTCTTAAAGCCGGTGATCGCGGTCTCGACTCGTAGGTACTAGCTAATCATCTGGACGGGCATTTAGGGCGTTGAATATTTGGATTGCATCGAATTCAAGCGCCATGGGATAATTTACGAAGGTCATGATATACCAGAATTGCATAACACGATTTTTGGATTTATGCATCATTGTGCTGCAGAGGTTAGCAGTCGGGAGTTGGACGGGAATATTCGTGTTTTGAAGCAATTTATGAGATAGCTACATATATAGCTAGACAGCATGATGTTGGTTTATCAATGCATGCATTGTACTGATCTACGAGACGGAGGTGCGCCAAACATAGCGCCGTGAGGTCCTTTGGTAGTTGCTTTAAGCCGACCTGCACCCTCTTGCGGTCGTTTCTCCGTGCACTTTACTGCTTTTGTCATTGCGAGAATTTGCATGATTAGAGGTCAAAACCAAAAACTCGGACACATGATTGGAGAAGATGGAGCGGAATCGAGAATACCGCTATGATTGATTACCTCTGGTCTCTGTCTCGCTCTGCTTACATTTGCCTATATCCTCAAACAGAACTCATCTCATCCTCATCTCTTCGTCCTCATCTCCTCATCCTCTTCATCCCTTCATCCCTTCATCTCCTCATCTCCCCATCCTCCTCACATCCATCCTCACCATCCCCTGGAGCTCAAAGTCGAGAAGCGAGTAAAAGTAAAAGTAAAAGTAAAAGCTAAAGTCTGTCATCAAGTCTTAAGCGCCTCCCTCGCGCTTCGCATACCTACTCCTCCTCGATCCTCTCCTCGTATAACCGATTGGCTACTGCTGGTGCTGGTGCTGGTGCTGGCGCTGGTGCGTGGTTGTTTTGGGTCTGGGTCTGGGTCTGGGTCTGGGCTGTGTTGGTGGGAGAGGTGGTGGAGGAGGTGGTGGGTTTGGAGGGTTTGGAGGGTGGCATTTTTTTGTATTTCTAAAAAAAAGAGAAAAAAAAAATTATGGAAAAAATGGAAAAAAAATGGAATAAAGAGAGGAGAGGAGAGGTGAGGTGAAGAGAGGAATGGAAGGGATTAAGGAGGTTTGAGAATTGAGGTTTTGAAGTCGAGGTTGAGGTTTGGAATGAAGTAGGTGGGTGATTCTGCGAGGGAGGTATGGTGAAGGAGCTTGTATGTGTTGTTTTGGGGGGGGGGGGGGTGATGGATCAGATTTTTTGGAAGTATATGATGAATAGCTTCGTAGACGAGTTTTTATGACACGTGAAGGGGTGGGAAGGGAAGAGAAGAGGAGACGGGATGGGTTGATGAGAGGAGAGGAGAGGAGGAAGTTTTCTTTACACGCGCCACGGGTGGCGAGGGAGCGAAGGGGCTATGGCCGCCGGCGTGGTGTATCAGCGAGCGAGCGAGCGAACAGCAGCTAGGTACATATGATGGACATCTACTTATCTGCTACACCATCTACTGCCTTATATCTGTCTTTCTTTCTTTCACCGATCGCAAACGAGTGAACGTATATCAGTTAGTGCAAGATCTCGTGAGAGAAATCTATCTAGCAGGTTGTGCGGTTACTACTATACTGTACTGATATTACGGCTGCTAGGTTTAGCTTTAGCTCCTTCCTCCCTTCCTTGGCTATTCTTAGACTCCAAATACGAATATGAATACCGTTAGAGAGATGATGCAAAATGCAAAAAATTGTGTCGGCCGGTGGGATGGGATAGGGCGAAGAGGGTTGGTTGGGTTGGTGAGTAGGATGTGTTCCACTCGTGTCTGTTGCCGGTAGTAGTGATATACGTAGTACTACCAGGGCCAAATCCAAATCCGAATCCAAATCCAAAGACCAACACCGATACCGATACCGATACTGATACCAATACCAATACCAATGCCAATACCGTATAGTCCCTACACGATCAGCGCGCCCCACCACGGTTGGGTTTCCAGCGTGTCGTACAGCCTTAACGCCGAAATAGGAAGCTGATTTAGGCGCTGTTTCCGTGATCGCGCCTTCCTGCGCCTGAGCACTGATCAGTTGGTACTCAGAAATTAAACGCGCATCCTGGAGATCAGTGGATTTATTGGGTGGGTGGTGGGGTGCGCTTATCGTGTAAGACCCTACGGTGTTGGCATTGGTATTGGTATTGGCATTGGTATTGGTATTTGAATTTGGATTTGGACTTGGACTTGGATTTGGTACAGAGAGCTTACTTACTTACTAGCTCACTTGCTTGACGAAAAGAAGTAGGTAAGTAAGTAGGTACTCCGTCCGTTTTGTTTGCATGAGATGAGCGCACATGCTGCCTAGAAAATTATTGGAGGAGACAGGGAAGGGGGGGGGGGGGCGATCGAGCGCATCGAGTCAAGGAATGTTATTGTTATTTGTTATTATGCCCGATCTACTGTAACAGAGTGCTGTACTATTCTCTGCTGGGTAAGGTAAGGTATCCATACATATAGTTAGTTATATGTGTTTGGGAGCTTGGCGTTAGTGTACTTGCCATCTCTGCTTCTTACGTAGTAGTATATCGGGGATTCCTTTTGTAAAGATATTTTGTTTTAAAAATACAATGATAGGAATGCTTGTTTCTTCGAAGTATATTTACGTATGGTCTTTGTTCTTAGTTGACAGAGCTCAACTTATTTGGATGTTGCTGTGAAGTAATCTATTCATAACGTAAAGCTGGCACAATGAGCTTCCTTCCGTACGCGCCTGGCTTATGGGGTGTAAGAACTATGCTGTATATGTACAGTGCGGCTCGATCCGCCACCAAACCCTCTTTTGTGGTTGGTTATATACATGTGAGATGTTTGGTCGTAAAGTAGGTTTTATTCAACTTAGGTTTAATCCGGCGGATATATATATTTTCGAAGAAGTGTGCACTGTGCTGACATTGAGAAGTAGACTGCAGAATTTTGGACTTTGTCATTTACGGAAGAGACAGAGACTATGAGTCTATAGTAGGTAGATCCGATAATTAAGTCCAACGAGGAAATCACGCAGATGCCTTACATCTCAGACTCCCTGTATCGGAGAGAATATCGTGATATCCTTATCATGCGAATCGTCGACTGCGATCTAGACACCTCCGGCTCGTGGGAGACTGGAGATAGGATTGGTACTCTTTTTTGTATATGCAGATCGGAAAAAAGGGGTCTGCTTAACGACGGCTCTAGGAAATTTGTTCCTGGCCTGAAATATCTGGCACGTATAGTCTTCCCAGCGCAGAACCACGGTGACTCTTTTGAGATCTCTTAAAAAATCCATCTATGAGTGGAGCGAACGCATTTGCTCCCAAATAGAATAGGTGTACCTTCACCCTCGCTGCTAGATGTCAGTGGCAGCCCTATGCACCAGTCCCAGGCCTGAAGCGCTCCAGCCCGAGGCAATCGGCCATCTCTCCCAAGGCCAGTGTGTAAATGAGACAAGTCACCTACTTGCCGCTGTCATCCCCTTCCTTTCAGTTCGCAGGCCGTTATGTGAATGGAGCGTTCGGCGTAGCTGTCGGATACAACTTCTCCAACTTCGACACCGCCTTGGCGCAGTTTGAGATCATAGCTTGCAATATCATCCATCGTCCACTCACTATTCAAGTGATGCAGCTCCAGCGGGTGGAACCACCGCTAAAATTATCAGCATTATGTGCGGACATGTACACCTTCGGAAACCCCACGGCCGTTGGTTTCGGTGCGAAATATTGGTTTGTGGATGCACCGCTCGCTGCCTCTCTTATTACTCGGTAAGATCATCAACGTGTACCGCCAACTTGGTATGGGCAGTGGGGAGTCCGAGTGTTCTAGCTTGCGTCAGGAAGAGCAGGTCCTTATTGATCGCCGGCAGTATTCACCATCATCGGCAGCTTCATCACCATGCTGCTCGGCGGCAATCCTTCTCATGGACTTCCTCGGATTCCGCCTCTGAAGAGACTCACTCGGGCGCCTTTCTCCGAGCTCTCTACCGCGGAACCAGGCAGCCCAGGTCGCTACTTACTCGGCATGCTGTTATGCTTTTTGATACAAGCATCGTTTACCATTCATTGCTGGACCTGACTACGTGCCGATGGCAGCTGGCGAGGCGAAGTAAAACCCCTTCAGCGGCAGCGACTCCTAGCTACGGTCAGACGGGCTCTCCGCCGAAGACATCCTCATTCCGCATGACGGTCGACCCAACACTCAAAGCCGCTTTCTCTCCCTGTCTGCCTGCCAGGAGTGGCCACCTTCCGGTAGGAGGTCCGTCGGAAACACACGTGACATAGTTATCAGCGGCCCAGTATCATAACAAAAATAGACGCCGAAGCATAAACTATCTCAAGACTGAAAGGATGAAAGGAAGCCCATCTAAGCGAGCCGACGATGAATTCCATACGGCTTATCTTACCGCTAGAGTGAACACTTACTGTGAAAAGAAAGTGACTACCGGTATTCGGCTGTGCTTTCTCCAAACAGAAGAAAAAAAAAACTTTCGATAGAGCTAAAAAGGGAGGAAGAACCTAGCAATATCTATAGGCAAGGGAGAGATCCATTGGCACGGGTTCCGCCGCAAGGGGAAATAGTAGCGAAAGCCGACTTGCAGTTTTTATTTTCTTTTTATTCATAAAAAAGGAATTCATGAAGGACTCCGCTTAATTGACAGAGCAACATAGCAGTATGAAGTGTCAACAAAGAGAGGTACGCGCTATTGTATTATACATCTGTCATTATTGTACATCCAGAACAGCATGACCTGTTACGTCAGCCGATTTTAGCAATGTGGCCCGTCGCACGGATTTTCATTCCACGTTTTGTGCACTGGTCCGTTCCCTCCTTCCTAATGTCTCACTTCGTAGGACCCTTGAGTAGAAAAGTAGAAAAGTGAAAAAAAAAAAAAAATCATCACGTAGGGTTGACTAGCTCTACACATCTCATGATAAACCGATAATCAACGAGAAAGAGAACCGAATTGAAACCTGCATCCGAAAACCGAGATTTGGGAAAAAGAAGAAAAAAAAAAAGAGTAGAAAAAAAGAAGAAAAAAGAAGAAAAAATACTGCCCCGGAAAAAGAAATGGATTAATCAAGCACCAATAAACCAATACGAGGCTTTTGTTCCGTCGTAGCCCCTCCTCCATACATACATATACGCACGCGAGGATAGCTAGCTAGCTAGCTAGTAGCTAGTAGCTAGTACCTAGGTCCCGAACACACAGAAGTACGATTGATTTTTCTTTTCGTCCTGCATACTGCATACTTGCATATTTCCACGGGAGATGAATTGAGGTTGATAATTATACTTTGGGAAGAGAGGAGCCGGTATGCAGGTACGCGTGCGAGGCAGACGGGCGATTGGCGGAACGGGAACTGCGAAAGCGGGCTTTTCCCCCTCTCGAGTTTCGTATCACCGGGGTGTTTTTATTGGTTTTCGTTTCTTCTTCTTCTTGTCCTGATTCTTCTCTATTTTTCTTCTGTCTTTGGGTAACACGTGGGGGGAAGAAGTGGAGGATGTGAGTTTCGTACTGTATGTGTGTATATATATATGTATGTATGTGTATATTTGTATTGTAAGTACAAGTCTTATGTACTGTGCATACCTACCTATGCGTTATATGTGAGTGTAGGGCTTAGATGAGGTTATGGTGAGATTCACGTGATCTCAATCAAATGCGATCCAATCGAACTTTCAAGTCAAGATCCCTTGGCGCCGGCGCCGGCGATGGTGGTGGTGGATCCCCGCCGAGGGAGGGGTCCGAGGGATTGAAATTGAAGGGACTGAGCGTGGCATGGTCGCCATGGTGACGGGTGAACTTGATCGGTTTCAACTTTCTACTACTACTAGCTGAAGAGACCGATCGATAGGTATGTCAAGAAGATGGACGTCACGTTCTGAGTTGGGGATGGGGGCGCTTGTGAGGTAGGTAAAGTCCGACAATACCATAATATCCGAGACTTCAAACACAGTCGGGGTATATTCCGTAATCTAAATATACTTCCAGCTGGTGAGTGATGTGATCCCGATAAGTAAGCATCAGTAGGTACCGGTATCAGCATGTACGTAGTATCTCCCTTGCGTCCCCTTCCTTCACAAGTTGCGCCACCTGCGTCGCACAGCCTTGATTGGGCAACAGCTGCTTGGTGGTATTGGTTTTGGGGCGCTTGGTGGTGGCGCGTGGAGAATGTTCGGCTTGCTGCTGGGCAATCGGACATTGTACAGTAGCTACAACTAGAGTAGCTACCGTAGTACAACTAGTTGTAGCTGTGCCTAGGTACTTCTTGGTCTCATTTAGTTTTCCACCATATTTACTTCTAATAAGACGAAGACCCTTTATTGTTCCTGCAGTGTCATGGCTCCTACCATTCTCGGGCGGGCAGGCAAGCGGTGAGGAGAAGATAGGGTTCAGTGAAGTACGCTGTCGCCGTAGCCGAATCGGATATTTATGCTCGGTTTTTCTTAACTATCACTTCGTTACTTTTCAGCACCGGCCGGGACTGACTGAGAGTCAGCCCCAGTGCTCATCGCATTAAATTAGACGCAAGGGAAGTCTCGTTGTGCTAGTCCATATCAGATCCTGAGATTCGATCATGAGGAGTACAAGACTGCGTTGTCCGTATGTACTGATGATTGGCGAATTGATTTGAATTTTTCGTCCAATCCACCCGAAAACCGGATTTGTAAGGACGGACGTTCATGTGGTGTTTGGTTTGGCGGCGGCTGTTGTGCCCTAAACGGAGCATAGCTCTTCTCCGGACTGTGGATGGATTCCGAATTGACTTATTATTACAGCAGCAAAGTTTGCAAGCCGAAATTGATACCCTCTACGTCATACAGAACAAAAACAAAAACAAAGACAAAAACAAAAACAAAAACAAAAACAAAAACAAAAATAAAAATAAAAACATCACCACTTCGTATATTTTACCTGTGCTCGCTTGGCAGATCAATCTCGCGGAGAAATTCTTCGTGCCGCCGTTTAGGCAGGACGCATGCAACGTCTGAGCGTAGGAAAAGCAGATCGATCCAGCAGGATGTTGTTCCGAATATACCTGACGAAAGCTACGTAGTACCTAACTTCCTAGCCCATCGTCGTCGACTTGCCAAATGGATAGATCAATTGCGAATCGACGAGGCGCCTTGGCTTGTATATGCAGGCCATGGGCCGGGCAGGGAAGACGGCCGATCGTGGAATTGATTGGGCTCGGGGATACGATAGGCAACTCGGCGTGATTCCTGATGACAACAACGGGGAACTGCTTCCAAACAATGAGCATTGTCGTGCGGCCCTCAACACCTCGTCTGTCGACGGCGATCCGACGCCATCCCCACTTTCCTCCTCCTCGCTGGAGCTGTACTTCGTAGACGGATTGATATCAGACTTGGAATCTGGGAACCGGGTCAAAGTATACTAGTTAGTGGACTGGGCGGCGGCTGGGTACCCGTCGCGGCGGGATGTCAAATGCTTACTGGACATTCAGTAGTGCGGCTGGAGATGTGTGGAGATGGCTGAGTTGGTTAGTCAGTTGGTTTTACTTAATTACCTTGCGGCCGTGGGATGGAGAAGGATGAGCGAGATGAGGCTGATGACATGAAACTTGTGCTTCGAGGAATGCTGTTAGTCATCCGGATATGAGCCTGAAGGAAGGAGATTTTGATGGATGGAAGAAGCATTGGGCCCTCGTGTCCAAGCCTTGTGTATATACCGTACTTACCGGTAGTAGATACCTAGGTACATGGACAAGGTCACTACCATTAACTTGTGTTTACTAAAACCATCTCCGCGTACTGATTGGATCGTGGCTGCTGGGACGGGGTACTCGAGTCCTGGCGTCTGAAACACAGAGACATACTACTCTCTACAACTGGCTGATCTAACCGGTGATCATCCAGCCTGTGTCCGTAAAATCAGATCTTGCACTTCTATAGCAAGCAAACATATGATCACATACGGACGGATCTCGCGGTTCCACAGCAAGGAGAGGCAAGCAGCTCAGATCTCGTCGCCTGTCCTGTCCTGTAAAACGACCGTCATGAAGGAAGGCTGACAGTTGGTCAACGGGATGTTGGCAGTGACACGGCGTCTAATATCTGACTCCGGACAGAGATAGGACGAACAGATGAGTGGCGTCTGCGCGTCGCCATTTCTCCACAGGATCTTTGTACTGCGCTGGGGCCGTGTGTCTGGCTTGTTTTGATGCCGGATGTCTGTCCGAGAAGAGGAGTGGAGAGCAGAGGAGGAGACATATTCGGCCGGGGTTCCACGAATATGGATATGCGGTGGCCCTCACCCTCCTACGTAGACCGAATCGTGCCAGATGTATAGTAGTAGTTGTAAGTCAAATATATCCCTTAACAGGTCGGCCAGCATTATCCTGGTCTGGCTCTCTACGGAGTGCGGTAGATAGGTAGTCAGTCTTTTTGCGAGACACAATTGCAAGAGTGGGAGAGGCTTCCGTGGATACCCAACTACTCTACCGTACGGAAGTAGTACATCAGCACGAGAACAGGCCTGCATAAGTACAGTACCGGTACCGTATATGTATGTAATGTACGGATCCGGAGTATGTCCTGTACCGAGCCTGTCGGTATGCATGCCCGGTCTGATTACTATTACTTGCTTTATTCACTCTCAACGTGGGTCGTGGGTCGTCGTAGTTCGTGGCTTGCCCATGTTGTTGGGGAGGGATGTTTTATGCTGTGGCGTATCACAGGCGCTAGAGATTGCTACTTGAAGTTTGTCTGTTTACACGTGACTTGTCCTGGGCCTGTCCATTCCTAACTTCGACCTCTCTCGTCCCCCTCTGCCACCACGCCAGCCTCACCTTACCTCCCTCTTCGTTACCTCTCCTCTTCTTCTTCCCTCCTCCTCCCCCCCCCCCCAATTCACCGAAACCGATCAAATCATCTTGCAGACCCTCCCAAACATACCGGACTCGACTTGACTCGACGCTGTGGATCGGAAACCTGGTGTTTACTTTCTCCTGCGCACCACCTCCACCCTCATTCCTCCGTCTACCGACGTCGAGAACAGTTGGCATGGACCGCCCTCTATCATGCTCTTGAGTTTCCTCGCCATCACGGTATTCTTCGGTCTTTCCTTTCCCTTCGGCCGGCGTGCCAGAGGGGACTGTCGTCCATCATGAAGACGGTTCCTAGCGTGAGTCCCAACCAAACAAACCCTTCCCGGAAAAGATATCACCACAATTTCTCTCAACACATAAACCCGCTGCCTTTTCAATTTGCCTCTATCAAAGGAATTGCGCCGATGAGCTCTCTGAAAGGCCTCTGCTAATTCTTGCAGCTCGTTGCCTCAAGTACAGTTGGGATTGCTGCCATCGGGTTGGCATTGGGAAAGCCAGAACGTTCAAGCCCAACACGCCCCTCGTCGAAGAAAAGAAAGGTCGGGGATGTTTCTGGCGCTCTCCTCCATAATAATTCCGGCCCAGCGTCACTAAATTCGAGGCCAGCTACGAGCAATGCTGTCAGAGACCGTGGTGCAACACCCATAATCGAATCTCCCTCAAATCCGCCCCCAAGTCTCCGATCACGCCCTCCCAGCACAAGAACAAGAGCGGAATTACAACACTATAATCGTGGACGGAAGCTTTCGATCTTCAAGCACGAAGAAACGTCGCTACATTCGGAGGAGGACACGCGCAGGGAATCTATATCTTCCAGAGGGTCTTGGATAAGGAAATTTTCAATCGCACCTAATTCTCACAGTAGCAGTCCGAGGTCTAGTATCGGTCCGGACTCTTCGTCCCTCGCTCTCCCATCCGACTCGGCTGGTTCCATACTGTCCAATCCAGCAGACTTCCCTGCCCAATTGCCCCCGAATAAGCTCGTCAAGAAGAATACATCTGGGAGGGCAACAAGTGGGCCAGTGTCGAAGAGTGGATCACAGATCCCCACACTCCGCAGGCCAGCTACTAGCCATCAACGTTCCGTCACGCTGCAGCAGCAGTTTAGGATCGACTTTTTAAGCATGCAGGAGCCACTACAATCTAGCCCCTCGCCTCGAGTGCACGTTGCACCACCATCCAGTAAAAACAGTACACCTGACTCTCGGCGTCCATGGCGCCTTTACTTTGAATCTCGACCGACGAAAATTTCGAAGGAACGGGCGTCTGGAAGATCAAGCGACGCAGGGCTGCCGAATCAACCTTCGACGTCGAGGAGGATCATCCCTGACGACAGCGCTAGGCCGACTCTGGTGAAACCTGGATCAATCATACCTTTGACGAAGAACGCTATGGTTTATTACGACGAAAGCTTCGAGCTTGACGACGATGAGGTGGACGATGGGGAAGAGACGCCTCTACCTTCCGTCGAGGTCACTGAGGAATCACACAAGCGGGCCCGGCGGTCCTTGTCGATGCACTTTAGCTCACCAAGCTCATGGATCCCAAGATCTGGGAGTCTAAGAGGCAACAAGAGGAGTGCTGCTGGCAGAAGTGGAGGCAAGCGCTATTCATCCGCACCGCTTCCTACCCTGCCTGGTCGAAACATTTCCACGGCACACGGTATCACAGCTAGCGGGCACCGTCCTATCCTGGACCAGAGCGTTTTTCAAAGAGAATCGCTGTCGCTCTCGGAAGAGTCTTCCTCGAATGATTCTTTTGCCGGTAATCTTCCAAGACGGAGCCGCAACAGCTCATCGCCCTTGCCGCCTCTTTCCCGGCTTTCAAGCTTCAATATTGATCTAGCTCGGCTAGGGTTGTCCTCCTCTTCTTCGTCGTCAGCCCCTTGCCGATCTCCAAACTCTCCTGTCATACAGACCCAGGCAACATTAACATCTGTGCCATTCACAAGCCATGCATCGCCGGTGTCTACATCCTTTGTCAGTTCTTCGAACTCGAAGCCGCCCCGATTTTCGGAGCTCACAGATCGAACCTCTACCCTCGTTGGATCGGATAACGATATGCGAGGGTTCATCTCCGGTGACGATGATGACATGGATTTCCAGAGCGAGACCGTCTTTGATTCTCTGAGGTCTGGAGCCACTGGTAGTATATGTTCCCACAAAGCACCACTGGATTCCATGTTCGACGAGTCTCCACCAAGCGTGAACGGCAACGTCAAAAGCAAGCGACTTTCGATCCACGAGATGCTAGCCAATGGGGGGTTTCAAGAGGGCCACAGCAGAATTGTGGAAGAAGATGAAGGAACGTCGACTCCAGTAAGAGGAGGGAGATCTTCTCAAGATGATGTCTTGGAAACACCTGTCCGGAAGGAAGTTGTGGATTCGGAAGGCATAAATTTCCCATCATCTCCGCCAAGCTTCTGCCTCGCTACAAAGGATTTTGGGCGTATGTCCTTGGATGATGAGGACGAGGATGAGGACTGGACCAGAGATGACGAGAACTTGGATGTCAGCAATCAGCTATCCCCTCCATCGAGCTCATTGAACTCCAAGAAGGCCAGTCCCAGTTTCCGAGCTGCACTAGCAGACGTGGCGCACACTGGAATTACGTATGGAAACAACGAGCTTTTAGAGGAACGACCTAGGAGCACGCTCTTCGATTGGTCCGAGCAACCCTCTACGGATAAGGTAGACTTAAAGGGAAACTCTTCACGGCCCAAAACTGCGCATGGCAAGCAAATGGCCGATGGTAGAGGTGGGCGCGTTGTTGGACGGAGGGGCTCAAGTGCGCTTCACATCCGAAGTCAAAGTGTGCCAGTGGTTCCCGATGTAGCCGGCCAGCGCGAACACTCGAAACTGATCCCGAAATTTGGAACATGGGGCCTTGGCGGAAAGGGTGTCAGCGAGGATTGGGACGGCGATTTTGAGTTTGATGAGAGTTATGAGCTTGAAGATGCCAAGGATGGGGATATAAAGATGGAGAACAGTGGCATGCTGGTCCCGCCAGCGATTCAAGCCAGCCAAGCGAGCGTGGTAGGGCACGTAGGACAGATTCGAGAAGTGTGTTTACTGGTTGAAGACCTGAAAAGGTTACGGTTGCTGGCGAAGGAAAAGGATTTACTGAACGGGCCATCATCAACGCTCTGGAAAGAGGCGGAAGGGATTATCGCTCTGGCAGTTCCAGATGAAGAGGACCAAGATCTACCACCACCTCATTCTCCCGTCCCCGACGCTTTTGACCAGGAAATATCGGAAGACGACGACTATTATGAGAGCGGGCTCGACGCGGAAGACTTGTCAACCTCTGGTACTCCGTTCGATGTCTTGAATCGACACGGTCGGCCGACTGGATTCATTTATGATGGTAACACTGTCCGGCGACGCTCCGTGTTTTCCCCGGAAGATGATATTTTTGGAGCTGGCCTTGTGGATAGTCCTGTCAGAGACCATTTACGACCGCCATCGACATCGCCTCGCCATTCAAGCATGAAGACCTCTTCTGACATCGCTCGATCTGTGATGGAGACCATGCACCAGCACCGTTCAACATCAGACCCCCTAATCCAGGGCTTAGCAAGCCATTCGCCAAATAAGATGCCATTCGATACTACAAGCCTCCGTGATCTCGTCCACCGTGCGAATGTGCTCAGTCGTACCCTGGCTGACCTGATTCGCAAAGCCGATGGCAACGCTCAAACTCCCGAGGTCACTCCGCACCGAGATTCAAGTCCGGCGTTTACTAGGGTTTTCACGGATCCGAGCGTGAGCCCGCCGAAGCATCTTCTTCGAAGTCAGAGCAACAACTCGATTATCGTTAGCGGGTCCTTGGACAGCTCCCCAACCCGCAGTCTTGGCAACCGGATGCATATGTTGACCGTAGTGTGATTATCGCAAGGCTACGTCGAAAGACTTTCTTCTTGTTAATCTGGAAATCTGTATTTTCTTTTCTTGCATAGCGACAGGGGTTTGCTTCAGCTACGGCACGGAACAATGTTTTTTTACTCTTAATGACCTTTGGCTCCTCCTAAACAGATTAGAGAGTGTTGCTATTGGTATTTGCAGCGATCATTTCATCTGCATGCGCCTCTGAATTATGCACAGGAGGTGCGGCCCTCCTGTTCTTTTGAGAGGGAGCACTTCTCGAAGATACACGGATGGGGAAATGGGTGGTCCTCAGCAACAGGACCGCAAAAATGTGTAATGTTGGCACGATTCTTTTCTTTGTTACGCGGTTCTGCATGGTGGTTGCATTTTCAATTCGGGGCGCTGGTACATGAATTCAAAAGCAACGATGCACTGGCACTTGTGACTTTAGAGAGAGAGGAAGCGGCGTGGCATTTTGTAAGTAGTTCACCATTGTGTGGCTGGGCATCGACTAGAGATGCGGAGGAGAGCGAGCAAAAAGGCCTTCACTGAAGATAGCAGAGATGGCTCTATTCCAAGATACCAGAGTGTATTCGATCTGCCATCAGATGGCTGGGTGGTGATGGGACGGACAGCGGATTCGCTGGCTGGCTTCTCTTCTCCTCGTAAGCTGGTGGATGGGAATGATCATGAGCTTCATGCTAGATGACTAGAAGGAATGAAGAAATGGCTTCACGCTATAGACAACTCGCTCAGTCTCCACGTGTGAATGTCTAGAAAGCCCGTTCTTGTTTATCATTCGCTAGATGGATGAGTGGCTCTTCAAACCAAAGTCTAACCAGACAGGCTGACTGACCAACTGCTTGTTTATAATGTGAACTAAATCATCGACTTGCGGCAACCTCCTCGAAGAGATTTTCCCTTTACCAGTCGGCGCTCCCGAACCTCCTCCCTCCTCTTTCTTTCTCAAACACCCCGCCGACTACGATTCTACACCTGATAAGCAGCACACCGATTGAAAAAGACCCAGAGGATCTGCCATAGAAAGAAAACGGGTACAAAAGACAAGATAAGATGAGGAAAAAAAAAAAAGAAAGGCTTAGGTAGGTAGTTCGAACTGATCGAAAACAACGAAAACGCGGTACCGTACTGGCCTGCGCCTTCGCTGTATTGTAAATATAACAAGAGGAGAGCGCTTTTGCAGATATTGCTGGTGCACCCACCGACTCGACTCGGCTCGGCTCGGCTCGGTTCCATATGATATGATATGATATGATACGATACGATACGATACGATGCAAGCAAGCAAGCAAGGCAAGGGAGGGAAGGAAGGGGGGGGAGGGAGGGGAAGGCGACCCTACCAACGCGGCGAGCCCTTTACTGTATAGCCCTTTACTGTATAGCCTCTGTAACCAGCCAGCTAGCCAGCTCTACGATGACAAGGAGAAGGAGAACGAGAACGAGAACGATGTTTCTTCTCTTTTATACGTACGGGTCGAGGCCGGCTTGCACGGACGGTACGGTGGGGCTACTTACGTTGCGTTTGAGATGGCTGTGGAGAGATGAATGAGTCCGTACAATTTCTAATTGTTTTTTTGAGGGCAGGGGGGGGGTTGGCTTTTAAGTAGAAAAAAAAGGGGGTTAAGAAAGAGATAGAGAGAGAGAGAGTCTGCGAAGACGGCGGGGTCAGAAATCCCCCGAGGGCTGATATCTGGGAATGAAAGAGGTGGGGGGGTTTTTCTTTCATTTTCTTTTGCCTGATGTGATTTGATGGTTTTTAGGCTCGGTTGGATGGATGGATGGATGGATGGATGGTGTTTTGTGGATGGTTCTTTTACTTAGTAGGTCGTCGCCACCGTACTTTATAAGGGGGGAGAGGTCTGAAGGTGCGGCGAGCGTTGGGCTTTGGATACCTAGTCTGTTGAGGAAAATGAATGAGTGTTGGTATTATTATTATTACTACTACTACTACTACTACTACTACTACGCAAGCGAAGTCTTCTTTCCAACTGTCCCTCAGCTCAGCTCAGCTAAGCCATTCTTTCTTTCTCTCTTTCTCTCTCTCTTTCTTTCCTTCTTTCCTTCTTTCCTTCTTTCACGTCACGTCACGTTGATCCTCCTCCTCCCCCTCCTCCCCATCTGACATCTCAAGAAAAGCCAGCTAGCTCTCTTCGATGACCTCCCCCCCTCCGAGTTCTATTGAAGCTAACCCCTTGAAAGCAACCTGCCAGCCTTACATTTTTTGCCCTTTCTCTCTCCCTCTTCCTCCTTCTTCCCCTTCTTTCCTTTCCCTCTCGAACGTGTTTGATTTTTGATCTTTGATCTTTGATCTGGCTTGAGCATAAGCAAGCAAGCAAGCAAGCAAGCAAGCAAATACGTATGAGAGGTCGTGCGTGGATATTCTCTACATTCTCAACGTATGTGCGTACGTACTCGCGCTAGGGAGGAAGGGGACGGTGTGTCGTGTCGTGGCACGTCATCCTGGGGTGGGTGGCAGCGCTAGCAGAAACAGCGACTTGCGAACTCGAGCACACGGCTCCGACGACGACGGGCTAGTGTGGTTGTGATTGTGGTTGTGGTTGGGAGGGAGGCAGGGAGCGAGGGAGGCCAGGCTGAGTGAGGGGTCGTGTCGCTTAAGCTACGGTAGGAGGTCTGTCTGTCTGTCTGTCTGTCTTACTTACTTAGCGAAGCGAAGCGAGGCCTGGGTTTGGAGTAAGGAGTAGTAGGTATCTATCTAGTTTTGTTGAGAGTGAGTGAGTGAGTGAGTGAGTGAGTGAGTGAGTGAGTGAGTGAGTGAGTGGGAAGGAAGGAAGGAAGGAACGAACGAAGGAAGGAAGGAAGGAAGCTGCTGCTTCTGTTATCCAGTCTGAACTCTGGAGCCGTCTTGCTTACTCCACCTCTACCTACTTGGCTTTTTTGAGGATGGGGGGAGTGGGGGGAGGGGGAGGAGGGGGTATATACATGTTTGGATATTAAAAAGTC